AAAAAGCTGTAGAGGAAATAAGATAGAAAATAGCTCTTATAAATAGGAATGTAACGCGGTTTAGTGATAAGGTATTCGGTATTTTTTTTGCGATTACTTTCTTGAATTTATTGCAGAAGTAAGTCGAATTTGACTGCACGTTTTTGGCACGATGAGTGATTTACTTCGATTATCACGATGTCTCGTTTATCACGATCGTACGCGGTTACATATTTACAAGATTCGAAATACGGGTCGGACAATGAATCCTGTTTTGTTTTTATATTTTACATGGAAAGAATGTTATATTACATCGTCTTTGTTCACCATAACGGTGTTGGTCAAGCGCGATTAAACTATCCCTTAGTTCTTTTTTTTTCTTTTTTACAAAAGTACATGTACAATATTTACAGAAATCCGAAAGAAGGAATGTAATATTCTAATCGCCCGTGTGACAATAGACGAATCGAATAGTAAGATATAAATTATTGATCATTTCGATTATCCTGGGTTAGGTTGTTGGGTCACTATCGATTATTTTACGGAGACAATTGCGAATATTTATGAATAACATTTAAGTTTTGCTACGTGCATTGCCATCGACTGTAAAAAATATCATCTTAGATATTTTTAATAAAATTGTCAAGAGCGATTTTGCTCTCAATATTAAAGATAACTATATAGAGTAAGAAGAAAATATAACCGAGAAATAACAAAGTATATCGACGTGAATTAAAATGATATAATGAATATTATAAATAAAATTAACTGACAAAATAATATCGGTAAAAGAAGAAAAAGGACAACAAAAATTAATATATCATATCATATCTTTATTGTAATAAAAAGTTAATAAAAAAGAAATTATACGCAATTGGCATCGCACTGAAAGGCAAAGAGTCTGCAATTTTTCGCAAAATTTTATGAGAGATTACAAAGATGCAATAATGAATCGTGCGTCAGAAAGTTCAAAACTTTGTTAATCTATTTAAATACGACACGATACGAAATACTGCATGAAAAGCCATTTTATAATTAAGTTAGTTTTGGAAAACTGATGTCGGTTCGATTTTTGAAGGACGGCTGTAGCACAGATCTCTCTCTTGCGAATAACTAAAATTAAATTACTTAAAAGCCAGATTACTGGCTCGATCATGTAGCAACGATTAGATATCTTATGAATCTAAATAACTGATATTTTAACGCGATCTGAAAATGGAGAGGTGCGATGATTAACATGCTTGATGATCCGCGGTTTGGGTAAACTTAAAAGAATACGAAAAAAGTTGACAAGACAATCTTACAGAGATGTGTTAAACGAGTTAAATCGTGCACTAACTTAACGCACTATAATATAACTTTAAATCGAAATCTGGTTTAATTCGTGTCACGTGATCCGTATATCCTTTGACAAGATTGCTTGTTATCTCGAGAATATCGGATCAGGTTAACAACTTGAATTAATGGGACGATGCACAGACCGGGAAATGTCGGGTTTAGCAAATTGTTTCGATGATTTTGTACTAGACATATGTATCCACGCTCATTGTGCGTGCTTGCGAATGAAATATAGAAACCGCGATATGCTTTGCATGTACGTATCGTTACACATCGAGATACATTTTTTTTTTTAATGATCGCATCTTATCTCTGAAGGATGTTATCGCGATTTTTTTTTTTCTATATTTCCATCTTGATATCATACATTGTAAATCTGTACATGGACGTCGTTAAAGTACACGGATGTACGCATTCGCCACTCATGTTATCGTCACTGAACACATGAGAGATAGAGAGAAATAGAAAGAGAAAGAGAGAGAGAGAGAGATTGTTAGAAGCAACTATCTATAAGAAGAGTATTATTTTGAGAGTATTATTTCATCTTAAATAGCACAGCCTTTGCTAAACCCGCTCCCGCATTCGCATTGATGGCTCGTAAGAAATTACAATCGTCAGTTAACTTAACTTCTTTATACTTAACTTTTTTATGAAATGGACTTAATTAATGTCACGGATCACAGCAGTGAACTCACGATAGAGATGTTCCTCGACAATAAATTCGTACGGCAAATTTTCTGTGTAAAATAACAACGGCGTTTCTTTCAACGAGTGTGTCCCGTTAATTATATCAATATATTCGCCTATCTATTGCGACGAAACTTACAAGAAATTTCGTGGAAACGTTTTAAGGAAAAGAGATTGGAATTACGTATTTCACATTCATGCTCGAACTGTTTAGCAATAGGTTATATCATGCAATCGATTGGCACGTAGATCGATCAGAGAAAATACATTTAGAGTTCGTGGCGTTTAGAAAAGTTTTTTAATACAAGACGCGTTTTCTAAAACTTAAAGATAGTGAAGTCACGCTTGTGTCTAATTGTCTTTTTCACGTGTAAGCGTTCAAACAACGTCGTTTGATCATTTAAAAATCATGTTTCCCATGAAACGTCCTATACAACTTACATCGTGAAAATCGGCAGTTTTATTTTGCGCACGGGCCAGCCGCGTAAAAAATTTTTTTTTATTTCTCCAATTGTAAATTTTCGGAAAAGTTTTCTTTGCTCCTTGTGTTTGCGGTAAAGAAATAAATTTCCGAAAATTCGACAGGAAACCTCACGAAACATTTCCTCAACCACACAAACTAGTTCTCACAAATTTGTTCCATTGTTGTTTTAAGTTCGAGCATAAATAAATACATAGAACCCTCGCGTTTCCCAGCACACATGATTTATAAATATTAACAGCCCAAGTTGACACGTTATGCCACCCGCGTCTACTCGCACAGCATAATGCACGTAACCCATATAACGCACGCATCCCATGTAATTTACTACACAATATAAAATGCAGTCCGTATTTATCCATCGACCCTTCAGCACCTATATATCGAGGACCCTCGATGTTATCTTTCTCACAAAATATTTCAAATAAAAAAAAAAACACTCGAACGATAATGACTGTGTATAATTTATGACTGTGTTTGTTTGCGCAAACTGTCATCTGTTTTTTCCACTCTGAAGCGTTAAGTTCCGTCGCGCGTAAATTTCAGAAAATTTGAATGCCTCTTATCGATTAAATTCTTTTCAAGCGCAATTACATTTATAATGAAAAATAAGGCATTTGTTGAGAATTCGAAACTTACGCAATAAACTTGTTATTGTTCAGAGTAACCATAGCGATAAACAGCCGTGTTTGCAGAGTGGGTCGAAGGAGTTTGACGTGCTTTTCAATTGTGCGTGCGATAAACACGGGGTACAATGGGACACCTGGCCCATCGATGGAAGGATGGAATATGCCGTGTGCAATCCGGAAGGATCGATATGCCCGACGTGGCACGTGGTGGATCCATTACTGTGTCGTTTTAACGACCGATTGGGAACAAAGGAAAGTTGTATACTCGTGTATATTGTATGGCTGCCGTTCTCTACCACGGCGGAGAGTTGTTAGTTTACTCGTGCGGTGAAGTCGACTTCTCTCGTTCACCGCGCCCCCACGACGACGTTACGTCGACCGACTTTACAATGGCTCGACACATTGTAGCTCTCGCGAATTTTGGCGATGGCGATGGCAATGGCGATTCGTCTGTCTTTTCTTATCCTAAACGCGCGAAACGTATCGACTTTTCCCGCCTGCCGGAAGGGAGGGCGGAATTCCGCAGTCGACCGTGTCTTTCAAGTCTTGCCACGGTCGAGCGGCTTCGTACGAGTCCGTAGGGGCTGGTTGCATCCGTCGATTTAACTCCGCTAATCTTCCGTTCATTTCTCGTGTATATTTCATATGACTGAGTTTCTTTAATGGAAAATATTCGATTAATCATACATAGTTGGCGATAATTGACGTCGATGCAATCAAGCCTAAGAATTAACTATATTGACGTGGCTTGACTGATTAATTCTGATTGACAATCCCTGTCTTTTAAATGTCTATACCCGATTTTATAGGTGCAGAACGAAAATGCAGTTAATCGCGATTAGCGACGATAATCGATGTTGATGCAATCAGCCCCCGAGGCGTCTCGAGAGAGATCGAATTGCGAGTACCAGGCACCGGATGAGATTCCATTGTTTGCCTTAGGAGTATCGATTTTCCATGGAATCGAGTCCACCGCTTTGAGTGTCACTTGTGATGGCTTGTTGACTCGTCGGGTTGAGAAGTCCGGATATTCTAGAACGAGTCGTCCGATTCGAGAATATCCATTTTGTACAATCCAACGATTTAGTCAATGCAGCTATACTCCTTGCTTGCTCAGACACCTGTAGTTCAAGTTACATGTATTTCAATGCAGTTCAAATTACATTATATTTTAATGGAATTTTATTATTTAAAATATTAGCTAAACATGAATCAGAAATGCATTTAAATATTTATCGTTCGAATATTTTTCATGGATTTCATGGATGGCTCAAAAGAATGAAATCTCTTCCACGATTATAAAATAATTCTACTTCAATAAGCAATATTTTTCAATATTTTTATATAAGATTTTATAAGCAGTTCGTTTAAAAGCGGCTGTCTGGATCTCACAATTCTTAAGAGAAATATTTTGGCGCGCGATTCCTCGGAAAGAAGTAAATACGTTTCGCAGGCAGCAATGTCGAAATGAAACATCGAAACGTTCCGCTCTGGTGATGAAGACAAACGTTACATTGGATGTGTTTCGTGACGATGTACTGCGATGTGCTCGTCGAGAAACCTTCCCGCAGAACACCCGCGTCGCAACAACTAGCCTCTTTTCGTCGACGTTGTCTGATAGCGAGAGAAATTGATTTTAATTAATAAAAATGTGCACAGTGAGAAAAAACATTCTATCGTCGGATTATTATTTGTCAAAATCTATTCGAATTTCGAATTTTGGTTCAATATATCAAGAATTTAAATTTAAAATAAACGCTAGTTTCCAGTTTCTATATAAAAATATTGATTTTCATTTTTTGTTATATGTATATATTAATATAATACAAAAATTTAAATATCTCTGTTATTTCTTACATTATTACGTACATGAAAATAATGCATATGAAGTAATTATTATAATGCCAAATAAATAATATGCGCATATATATTTAAAAGAATTTTGTCATCGCTCTTGAAGATCGTTCTGTATTTACGAGAGAAAATCCATTCAAGAACGACGTTATTCAACGCGCGACGGATAAGACTGAACTTTGAAAACAATCAATTTCCCTCATTATTCGGCAAATCAGATTAATCGATTGGACGGTACCGAAAGAGAAGAACGGGGTCGTTACGCGCGACTGTGAAGTTTTCTTGGATATTTACAAGTCGAAAGATTTGAGCGACGCAAATCGCAGCGTTATCGGGCGGATTTGATTATCGTCGGAGAATCGCAATCGGCATCCGATTTATTCTCGATCGTGACAATCCTTCGAAGCGTCCGTCCTCTCTTCATTTCCAGGAAACCATCCAGTCCGTCCATTCGCCGAAGTTCCGAAGTCCGCGTCGAAACCTTGTAGCTCGATCAACGTAGCCGGTTAGCATCTATAAAGACAAGATGCTAGACTGCCGTGGGGGCACGCGATTGTCAATGCCACTTCGCTTTTTGCGCGAATATATCCGCGCGCAGATTCTGCGCGAAGCAGATTCCCAAAATCTGAAAACAACGAGGATACTCCGTTCAATTCTCGGCTACGTGACAACCGCAGAAATTAGAAAGAGGTACTTTCTTAGCATTTTTCACGTTAGATATTCGCGAAATGAAGCGTCGCTTTAATGAATATCCAATATGAAAGTAGAAATAATATTTCTCTCGTTGCCGTCGAGACGTACTTCGTAAGAATATTTCATTGAATTATTCTTTTAATTCGGTAGAATAATTGGAACTTTTGCTTTAATCATTTCTTTTATTCTTGAAATTACATTTATATTTTAAATGATCGAATATATAAATAAAAATGAACGTTGAATTAGATTTGTGAAAATGCTAAAAATGTACTATTTTTAACTACATAAGTAAAAATGTTATATTTATCTAAAAAATGGGCATGGGTGAAATTTATCGGCAGAACACTTATGTTGGAAGGAGAATTAAACTTAAATAATTAATTTCTCTGTTATTCAACTAATCATACTCATTACTCGTGCTTATGATCAATATATCAATAGGTTACACATATCTATAACTTCGGATAATTGGATACACATACATATATACAATTAGCAGTCTGAATAATTAAGTCGTACACCACATTGAGATATAATCGATAGATTCTAATACAACGAGTAATATCAACATGCTTTGGTATCTACTTAACGCACACAGGGCAACACGAGAAAACTCATTACGCCGTTAAGTAAGCATTAATTTAAAATTCTTTAATGAAATTCAAGAGAGGCTCAATATGTTACGCTGATAAACGCACTTACACCGCCTAGCTGTGTGTGTTATTATGTATCTCGCATCTGTTTTACGTTTTCCTGCGTGTAACACTGCAAACGAAACAGGTCAACAATCAACGTTGCAAGCATAGGTAAAGTCTCACCTTATTTCCTTCAGGGCATGTAACGGCTCTGTAATGCTCCCAGCGACGGTTCGCATCGATGAATACATTGCATGAAATGTGCTAAAATCTCGTTTTAACACTTTGAATCAACGACGGCAATCTTGAGACGACATAGAATATATCTGAATCGCAAATTGAAAATTAAGCGGGAGTTGCACCGGGAGTTTGAGTTTTCCATTAGTTGAGTTGAATTTTAAAAGAATTTCAACTACCGCAAAACGCCCGGACGCTTACTTCGAAATAACATTTTTCAAAAATTCTCGAGCTTTAAGATTTCCATCTTGACTCGCTTCGCGGCTCGTCATTTAGTCGAGTCGAGCGTTAAATATTCGCGGATTCAAAGTGTTAATTACTCGCGAGGTATCAAGTCGAGGTATTTCCAACGTTACTCGTTGAAAATTTATCGATGCGTGCCGTAGATCGGAGCTTGTACTTATGCTAATGCATTTTACCAGCTTATACCTGAGCGAACGCTGTACCAACCGCGCCGCTGGCAATTGCGAGGAGATTTCGCTCTATCCATTCCTCTCCGGCCTGTATGCAACCTTTTTCATAAATCACTTTGGCGACCTCAAAGTTCTGTAAAAAGAGAAAAGGAAACGGCTACTTCGCTTACCTCCCAATGTTACGCTACTATTATTCTTGTTAGTCCAGGACAATTTTCCCAAATGGTGGTGGTATTAGTTCCGTGAAGGTTTCCGTAGAGAAAGTGAAAGGATAGCTGTACCGTTGTTTATGTAACTACGATTTACCGTCGATCGCGTCAATCGGTTGCTATTTTAATGCGCGCGTGTCGCAACTGTCTTAAGCGTTTTCGTCGCGACGCGCGTTTCGCCATTTACGCGAATTGCGGCAACAATCGATGCTGAATTCAACGGTAACTAATGATCTGAGGTAAAACGTGAACGCATTTTTTTCCTTTTTTCTTTTTTTTTTTTTTCTTAAAATGTATTCGGGATGTTTTGAGTTGGCAACAATCTTATCCTTATGAGAGATTTATTTATCGCGAATGAATTATAACGTTAAAGCGCCGACGTTTCGAGAGATTATGATGCGCTCGAATAACCGCGCGTAAAACGTAAAAGCCGCTCACGGACGAGAACGAGGATAAAATCCGCGATGATAACTCTTTGTCGCGATTCCGAGAGGAGAACTCGCGAGAGAATAGTGAAAAGGTCAGACCGTCCTCGCTTTTACATCCGCTGGCCTCGCTCTTGGTCCCGTTAAGTGAAACTCAATAAGGTACTTGGTCCGGTCGACGCGTTTCCTCTCCGCGTTTTTCACAATTCCGCCGCGAAAACTCGAGCGGAGGGAAGCTCGTCAGCGCGAGGGAAAGAACGGTAACGTACATTATATACGAGAGTGACGTTCTTAAAGGAGCGATATCCCGACTCTCGGCCGCGACTCGAACAATAAATTCCGCCGCTTAAATTTTCTAGGGAAGTCTCCGGTCGGTAACTTCAATTTCCGGTCATATAAAGGTAGCAACCTAATTTATTAGGAACAGGCGGGATGCGGGGGGCTGCGCCGGCGGGGCATAGATCGAGTCAGGATCGTAAAGTGGATCGGAAGAAGAAGAAGGAGGAGAAAGAGGATTCTAACCGAAGGGAACGGAGGGTACTAGAGAAAATATATATATATATATATATAT